ATTTATTGATAGTGTGCAAATTCCCAACACACACACACACACACAGAAGTGAGACATGACTGGAGTCATTCATGTGGTTTCAAGTCGGTTCATAGGAAAACCAGGTATTCATGAATTTCAAGGAGTAGCTAGCCTAATTTCTATCACGCTTCTTGCTGAACATAGTTTTACGTGATGGAATAGATAAACATGAATTTTAAAGAATGAAAATAAAAATAATCCAAATGAATAAACAAATAAATGAAATATTATAATATGTGGAGGCCCCTGGGCAGCTGCCCACTTTGCCCACTCCTGAATCCGGCCCTGGGATAACTGAAGCATGTGTGTGTGGTGGTGGGCTGTTGATCACTTGGCAACACACCCGATGCGTGTTACCACTCCTTTCCACTCCATATCTCTAATCACCCCGATCTTTCTGCTTTCTCATTCCATAATTTAAAATGTCATGTAACATAATGTTGAAGGGTTACAACATTGCTCATTTATACTTACACTCAATTTTGTGGGTAGATATCAGCTGTTCAATAGTATTTGGCAGTGCCTGAAGAGTCAATGGTTTATGTCTAAGCAAGTTATTGGAAGCTCCAACAAATTGCCCCTGAATACGAATTCGCAACTTTTGATTTACAGCAGGTACCTGCTTTGCTGCTAGGTGAACAGGGACCAAGGGGACTAGGAAGTGTGTCCAAACAACTTCCGCCGGCCTGGGAAGTCACTATGTTTAATGATCTTATGTAGCTAAGATAAAATTGTGTTTGACTAATTATGTATCAGATGGATCAACATGTAATACTGATGAATGCCTTGTTCTCTGCAGGTTTTTTTACTATATCAATAAATATTGAGTGTGTCAAAAGGCGGGTTTCAGTCATTCCCTTCGACTTGCCCGTCACCTGACTGTCCTTAACTGTTCCCGCAAGCGGTACATAATTATGATGACATGTAACAAACGTTATGTTAGGCTGTAACTCATGTCAAGTTTATTGGGCTTGCCTGCCCATATACAGTATATAGTGTATATAGGAGGCAGATGAGAGACCTAGAGTAGGTTGAGGTGTTGGGAGGTGAGCTTGTTTGCGTGTAAGACGCCTGACACAGCGAGTTTGAAGTGGCCAGCTTCATCATATGGTGCCCAGCCGGGCACCGCCAGCCTCACTTTAGCTATCCCCATCACACCACCAACACCTAACCTGTTTCTCCTGAAGACTTTCAACATGCAAGTTTAACTTGTATTTATTGTGTACACAGGTAGACTGTGTCCATTGCATCGTTTATCATTGTGACGACATAAAAATATGGCAAATCAAGTACTCTTTGTAAGTATTAAGATTAAACTTATTACATAGCTATGATTGTTATGTAAATATATATATATTGGATTAGACATATATGTGATTGCCTATGTATGACTTATGTGAAATACTAAAATGAATTGTATTCAACAGGTTTGACCAAATTATAGTGTTTGAGTCCAACGTCACAAGTTTCACTAAATCCTTTAACTGCCTGATTGGCGGTTATATTAACTAAGCAGCTTCATTTCTTATGATGCACTCTTATAACGTCCAATAACTAAAATTACTAAATTTGCGGCTAAATAAGTAAAATATCACTAAATTAATGGTATACAGCTAACCATGGCATTCCTTGTAAACTATAACTATGGTCATATTTCAACCACTCGTGTAAACTTATTTATCTACTGGTACTTAAAATTATATATGGATGCAAACCTGGACTTTTCCCCCTGCTATTAGAACTCCTGTCCTATCTACACTAAATAGAATGTGGTAGAGGTTTTTCATTAAATTTTTTTGTTTTCTGTTTGTATAAAGCATAATTAGGCAGCCCACGTTATTCACAGTGCTGTTTCATGTTAACAAATGTTGAGTGTTTCACTTGTGATGCCTCATCTCTCCTACAGACAGAACTTGTCAGTGTTTGAAATGTTTGGGAAAGATTTTATAAGTTACTATCCCAACGGTCCCTTGAGGAAGTGGGGTCAAAATTGCTTCAAGAAGGAAAGAAATTAAACAATATTTTTTATAGTTATATATTTTCAGTATATGAAAACTAACAGGACATATGTACAAAAAGGAAGGCAACATTCTATAGGCGGGATAGTCAGTTTACTTACGAGATGGTTGTACTGAAATACAAAACCGTTTTGCCATTGAACCGAGTTAAATCTAATAACTAATTGACAAAAAAATTAAAAATAAAAATTATATTTATATATACAGTATATCTTGATAAAATCACACAGGAAAAAGGGAAACAATGGAGCATCTTAGCTTTCGTCTTTATTCAAAACATCTTCAGAGGCAACTGAATTACAAGGACTGAGAGAGGCTTATGTAAACAGGGTGACCTTACAAAACATGAGGTATCTTTATGACCTACCTCATGTTTTGTAAGGTCACCCTGTGTACATAAGCCTCTCTCAGTCCATGTAATTCAGTTGCCTCTGAAGATGTCTTGAATAAAGACGAAAGCCAAGGTGCTCCATTGCTTCCCATTTCCCTGTGTGATTTTATCAAGATTTATCTTATCCACATTTCCATTATATATATATATATATATATATATATATATATATATATATATATATATATATATATATATATATATATATATATATATATATATATATATATATATATATATATATATATATGTATGTATGTATGTATGTATGTATGTATGTGTATATATATATATATATATATATATATATATATATATATATATATATATATATGTATATGTATGTATGTATGTATGTATGTATGTATATATATATATATATATATATATATACACACAGCTGCTCCCAGACTTACGACAGGGTTAGGGACCGACATCCAGGTCGTAAGTCGAAATGGTCGTAAGTCGGAAATCCTTAAATAACACAGAAAATGAAAAATGGGGGTGTTTTTCTTCTCAGCACCACAAAACACCCACTTTTAAGCTTTCCAGCCATTTTAAAGTGAATTACAGATGAAAATTTTGTCTGTGTACCGACTTTGGGACTCGAAAATACGTAATTTGACCAAATTTTGGTACGACTGAGGCAGGTCGTAAGTGCGGGTGGACATAAGTCGAGTAGGTTGTAAGTCAGGGAGGAGCTGTATATGCATGTATAAGGGTTGACAATCCTTTATCCAAAATCCTTGGGGCCAGATGTGTTCCAGATTTCGGAATTATTCGGATTTCAGAAGTTTTTTTTTTTTTTTACAGGAATCAGCCCATCCGGGCACAGGTCACCGACCCACATTGGGGACTGGGTGGTGAAAATGTAATAATAATAATAACTCATAGATATTGGTCGTGTTTCTCACTTTTGATCTTTTTTTCATTCTTGTATTTCTTCATTATTATTATTATTATTATTATTATTATTTTATTAATATATTATTATTTTATAATTATTACTGTTATCATTATTATTTTATTTTTGTGTATTTTCTATTATAAATTTTATTTACTATGAATTTTCATTATTATTACATTTTCACCCCACAGGCCCCAGTGTGGGTCGGTGACCTGTGCTCGGGGCTGATACCTTAAAAAAAAAAAAAAAAAAAGTAAAAAAAATTGCTCCACTGAAAAACATGTAAATAAAATAACCATGAAGATAAAAGTCTGAAAGTCAGTGAAAATTATTAAAACTGCCAGACTACAGAATCCTAGGTGAATGTCTAAAGGTTAGTTTTAATAGGGCTATAAGTACTGGAGAGACTTCTGGCTTAACCTATGACTGCCTGACAAGCTTCTTAATCTGTGGCTCATAGGTAGGTTGAAAATGCTGTTGGAGGCTTGATGCAATTGTGCTCTACAATAGGGGTATTAATGCTCTATCTTCTTGCTTACAATGTGGATTTTTCTTGGTGGGTTACACTTCACTGGTATAGAGTCTCACTTCTAAAAAAAAATTACTAATTTACTTGTTACTTCTATTGAAGCCCAATACACAGAAATTATTAACATACAAATAAATCAACAGCTTCTTAACGTGTAACTCAAATTAATATGGGAAGAGCAACCCACCTAAATTTAAAACATACAAAAGGCAAGGGACACTAGTTTGGTCATCTGCATATACAGAGGGCCACTAGTGGACTAGAAAAGCATACCGTAATACATGACGAAGGACAACAGTAATCCAATGTTTATAAAAATAAATAATAATTAGACAGATCAAATGGAAAATTAACCTTCACTTCAAATAAAAAACAATTTTTGAGAATCAAATAATAGTCCAATATTGTCAGAATCTTTCTACTTGTTAAAAAGAGACACATTTAAAAGATACAGTAATGAATCAAGCTTAAAATTCTGACAGTACATTTGTGACTAGAAGGCTTGGATCTCCCTTACGAGACCCCTTCTGCCGCTTATAGTACAACCAAAGTCAATGTGTGCTGTGACATCTTTCTTACCCTACAGTTATAACATTCCTTTATATTTTTCTAATTAATCTATCAACGATTATGACTGATATTCAAGTTATGAATGACAATAATTTCTCCATCATCAAACTTTTCTTAGTTATCATATGGAAAATAATATCAACTGTATGGTGAGGGAATGTACTCCTTGATCAGTCACAATCTTTGAACAAAATTATTTAACTACTGGGTGTGCAATTTTCAGATTTTGCCTGAAAATGATTTTGAACATATTTATGTTACCCAATTAGCTGCAGAAGGTGTCCAGGTAACAGAATCAAACAGCTATAAATTATTTGGCACGGGTTTGACCGGTAGACCAAGCATTTACTAAAAAGCTTGAGAAAAACCCAATCACTGAAAATACTATTTTCATAAACATATTTTGTTCTAGATTGTAAATACCACTTAGGTATTTAAACCCATTACACACTTGTGTCAAAACCGATGGTAGAAACCTGGACCTAAACTTCCCTATAATCTATCATTAGAAAATAACTAAATAAATATTAAGTATATCCTTTGATCCCTATATCCCAAGTTGACTAGTTACATAGTAACTAAAAAACAAAAAGTTTATTCAACCTAAATCACACACATATCTGCTCAATATAAACACCCCAGATTCCATTCAATTTGTAACTCCTCTACCCACACCATTATATACTAAGTATCATAACACTTGATAAACAATAACTGGTTCCAGTGCTGTTCCTGTAAGCAATGCAAGTAATTAAAAAAATATGATGTTTATCATATTTGTATACAGTATATAACTCACATTTTAACTATTTGACATTAATTATGAGCATTTACTGCAGCTTCTAAAAAATTTAATTTTTTTTGGTTTATCATCAATATACTGTACATGTACTGCAGGGAACAGCACCATGATAGATCAGCACCCAACTGGGAAGAGGAAATTGAAGATGACCTACAGTAGCCCCCCTTTACGACCAAATGATGTCCATCCTACTGTTCCAACATTTTGTTCAACTCCACTACCACGTGGTGGCGGTGCACTACCTAGAGAAGTAGGTCTTGGACGACCACTAACAGTTCCCAAGTCTGCACGCTGACCAGGTTTGAGCTGACTGAGACGATTATCAAGGTGACCTGACCCTGGATGTCCTGGAATCCCCATAAGAGCACCAGAGGGAAGTGTGGGGCGTCTCTCTCCAGGAGATGGAATTTTAGGAGTTGACATAATTGCACCAGCATCTGCAGAAGAGTAGGTAGTAGTAGTTGTGGTAGAGGATGTTGTGCTACTGATGGTTGAGGTCTTGGCACTGCTCATTATGAGATTGGAGAGGTGTAAGAGAGGTGAGGTTGCAGGACGTGACATCACAATTCCACCAACAGTTAGTGCTCTATCAGATGACCCAACAAAACGATCTACACCAATAGCCTGTACTTGCTCAACAAGATTTACACGTGGACCTGCTGGAGACTGAGGGGCTGAGGGATCATCCTTGTAGAAAGTGCGACGAAGAAGGCTGGCTCCATAGTGGAAGGTTTTGGTAAGGTCTTCCAGGCCTGAAAACATTTAAAATTTTAAAATCTTTTGCATGATAAACATAAACTATCATTGTCTAAGCAATTCTGAATTATTGCTAAAACTAAATCATTCATACTACAGGGATACCACTGCACAAAAAAAAAAAACTAACCTGGTAACTTGTAGCCCTCTGGTTCAGGTGATCCTGGTCTGGAATTTGTAGGACTATTGGCTGGTGTTGCTGTTGGTGAAAATCTACTTGTGATGTTCATTCCTCGTTCATTCAGAACTTTTGCTAATCCAGTGTTTGTGGAAAATGTGGCTGTAGACCCTCTTCGTGAAGGGGGACATGATGGAGCCCTCATAGGAGTGCTGGGTGTTGGGACAACACTAGTTGATGAAGTTGGCATTACACTGACTTGTGTCTGACGTAGACTGAAAAGTAAATACAGGCTAAATAGCAATGAATTTCATGCTTTTGGATTAGATGCTACTACTGCATAATTTATGAAAAAATAAAATGTAATATGCACTAACATGACTATTATTATAACAATACACTGTACAGTACAGTATTTGAAAACAGCAGCAGCCCATCTTACAATATCCACAAAAAATGTCTCAAGGGAACTGCTTGGCAGGTATAGAAGGTGGTGTTTTTGTTTTGGCTCAAGTGTTTTGATATTTTATTCATGACATATGCATGATTACAATCATCTTCCACCCCCCAAAAAAAAGACATCCATTTTCAAAATCCAGTTTTTGCCTTTCTTCTTATTCAATTACAGGTACATTTATATTTATATCCCTTGGAGTATAACATCCGTTCTTGAAAACTACTCAAGTGTTTTGGGGTTTATGAATCTGTTTCTGAATATTATTTTTTTTTTTTTACAGCTTTGAAATTTTACACATATTAAAATTTCCTTCTGTGCATTTGTATAGAATGTTTTCAGCATTCCCCCCTTTTTTTAAATTGGTGAATAAATGGCCAATATCCAAAAAAATAATGTGAAAAAGGTTATTTTGAGATAAATGCCCTTAATAAAAGTTTAAAAGTTGTCATTCCTCCTCAACCATGTCTGAGTTCACTATACATTTATATTATTTTTTCTTCTGGTTACTGGATCTATCTCATTATCTCTTCTAAGACCGTTTGCAGTGCAACATTTAAAATTTTCTCCCAGGGCCTCTTAACCCTTAGGCCCTGGGTGACGTTCCAGAAAGTTCGACCAGCGCGCCCCGGGTGACATTCCAGAACGTCCACCTTTTCCCTCCATTTTTTATTATTTTTTTTGAAAGGTTGATTTTTTCTAGATTTATCCCCACAAGGGGGAAGGGGGGGGAGGGGGTACTGCCAGCAGCACCCTAACCCAGGGTTTAGGGGTTAATTACCTTTCAACTGCTCACTCATGATGTCTGTAGAACAAACTTTGACAAAAGGCAACAAAGTGGTCAGGGGGGGGGGGTATCAGCTGAGTGCTACCTCCCTCTATCAATGTTTGGAGAGTACTGACTTACTCTCACCGAGGTATCTTCCACACTATCAATAAGTCAAAGTTTTCAATGAGTGTATTATGTTCTAAATTTTTACCTATTTTGAGTTATATTTTTAGAGATATTGACAGTTTTATCTATCATAGCAAAGGGGGGTATAGCTTTAAGCAAGTTTTCAATGTTGATGAAACAGGGCTATTTTGGAAGTGGATGTCATTGACAATATGCACCAGTAAAGAGAAGAAGGTTACACCAAGCTTCAAGGCAGCGAAAGACAGGCTTACTCTCCTTTTATGTGGCAATGCAGCAGGTGACTGTAAGCTCAAGCCTCTGGCAGGCTACCAATCCCTCAATCCTTGTGCATTAAAAGGAATGAGTAAGAATATGTTGCCTGTTCATTGGGTAGCCAATAAGAAGGCATGGGTAACTGCTCAGGTATTTGAGGACTGGTTTACCAAACATTTTGCTGATAAGTACAGTGAAGTTAATGCACACCCAATTACTGTAAAAACTTATTAGGAAATTAGGAAAAATCTAAATAAATTAATTTGTCTTCTGCTCATATGAGGGATAACAAATGTCTCAGGACTTCCACACTGCCTGAGTGTTTCTTGTAGAATTCACTTTTACCAGACTGTGACACCATCACTCATTCTTCAATCTTAATATATCTATAATTTATCCATTGCAATCAAGACCAGTTAGCTATATACAGTCACCTGCGCTTATACCTGGTACAGTGACTAGGGCATTTTGCATGATGTGACAGCTCTGTGGAATGCTTATCTAGCCTCCTTAGTCTGGCTACCATTGTGACATTTCTTAAGGCCATTCTAGGAGTTTTAATAACAGAAAACAAACACAGAGTTGGCACATCTCACAGAATGTGCCAGCCATTATACCAAGTGTTAGTGCAGGTGAATGTACATATTTTGAAGAAATAATAAAGTATGAGTTAAATTCCATGTACAAGTTCTGTATGGTATGTTAAGTCAGCTAACACCAAAATACAAACTCAAGTACCAATTGTCCCATGCCCAAGTCTGTCTTAGTCAGTCAGGAAGATCAGTTAAGTGTGGAATTATGGAAGTAGAAGTGAGTGTTAAGGCAACATGTATGAGGAGGGAAGTTAAAAAAGTTATGCAACAAAACACATACAGTATTTCTCTTTAAAGTTTCTTCTGATCACTGAAATTCAGTGAACCAAAAGATGCAAGGTTTCAGGAGGGTTATATTAAATAGAGAGAGTAGAAAGTACATGTGTACCCAAAAAGACACAGAAAGGAAAATCATTGTAAAGTAAAATATGAGTAAGTAATTAGTAAAAGTAGATATTAACCTTGGGGTGAGATTGGTCTGATCATCTGGATGTAGTATGGTTGAGTTGGTGTAGGTGAACACGCCCGAGGTAGACATGAACCTCTTGCCTGGATTCTCTTCTTCTACTTCATCCTCTTCCAGGTCAGACATTGAGTACACATCCAGATTCAACTGTTCAGCACCAGCACCACCCTAGTAAGTGGACACATGTGTAGTTAGATTTAAAACACTAAATATTTAGGTCAGCAGGGATTTTGGTAAGCATTACAAACAATTATACTAAAATTAATTTTTTACCAATTGCAATATTATGCTTCATCCACATTAATTTACTGAACTGATGTATGAATATTTAAATGAGATTATCTTATTTCTATCGCATATACAAAGCATTTATAAATGCTCTAACTGCAGGAACGTACACATGAACGCACACTTGGACATAAAATGGGTGTCAGGGTGTGTAGAAAGAGGTACTGTAAACCACATCCACAAAAAAATTTTGTTTTTTATATTATTGTTATATTTTCAGAAAAAAATAATAAACTACAGGTTGTACCTCTCTAGTCCGGCAACCTCGGGACCTGACCGGTGCCGGACCATGGAAATTGCCGGACCATGGAAATTCACCCTTTTCCTGGATAGATAGTGACTTGTGCTTATGCTTGGAAGCACTAGCACCACTTTCTCTGCATCATGGTCTCTTTGAAGACATATTGAAGGGTTAAATGTCGTATAGTAGCTTCTCAAATTTCGCAAGTTTTTAATTCTTAACGTATTTTATTGGAACACACAAAAATAAATAAATAAAAATTTTGACGGCGGAAACTTGAATTTCGACGGGTTTGAATGGCCCGCCAACGTGCAGATGACATGCATAATCGTGTTAACAGCGTCATTTCTCTTATGTACAAAAGATTCATTTTTGTTTATTACTGAATGTCTTTTTTATTGAATAAATGTTTATGTGTGCAAAATGAGCAATACAATTCATTAATAATATGTAGACTATTAAAACACACGAAGAAATGACACAGCATTGTTTTCGTTGATTACAAAACCAGTGACTGACTGGTTCTACGTATAAAACTGAAGAAAATAAGACCCTGGCTGTAGCTGTAGTAAAATTAATATGGTTGTTTTAAGTTATGTTATTTAATGTTAATAAATGGAACAATAGAAGTAGCTAACGATAATGATAAAGAAAAAAGAGAGATTGCGTATGTAAGTGCGCATGCGCACACGTGAAAACATGTCGTCATTACTTTACATAAGAATATGAAAGCAACACTTATTTACTGTTCATATATATTTTAATTAATGTTTCTGAATTTAAAACAAAAATTCTACCCACCAGTGGTGGTAAAGTTGAAAACATAAGGACAGCCAATGTTGTTGTGTGTGTTTTTACTCGGATGACGAAGTTGCCAAGCCATCAGGTTCAACTGTAGCTAAAGCTGTAGAACATAAGAACTTTTCGGAGTTTTGCTCGTTAACTTAGGGACCACTGTACAGTACTGTACTTGCCTTTAAAAGCACAATGATGAGCACAGCAGAGCCAGGCAACAAATACTGGCAACAAAGAAATAATTTGAGGGTTGAACTTCACAAAACAAAGTTTATGATTCAGGCTTGAGTCACATGATGCAGCAAGGGATACATACCAGTAAGTGTTAAAGTCACACACTTTTCAAAGAATCAAAGAGTAGTTGTACAGTTTTGAGGTGTAATATCCAATACAACTGAAGCTCATGTTTAACTAATTATTTCTATGGAACAAAACTACCTGACATTGCCATTATTGCATTTTTTTTCCTTTTTTTTATAAACACAAAATAGGTAACAAGGAATTGTGCACAAGGGAATCCCCTACTAATAATACCATCAAAATATGCATCCACGGAGTTTAAAAAAATGTGGTTTCCATGGTCTTCTATTAAGTTTCGAAGAAATCAAGCCAACAAAAATTAGCAAAGACAACAAGCACAAAATGCATAGATGACAAAAACTGAACAGTTCAAATGCATATATAAAAAATTTAAGAAATACATACCTTGATAGCAACCCCTTCTCTCTCTTCCAACAAGCCACCAAGATGAGGTGTTGCCAGACGAGACCATTGATGGAGGGTCAGAGATCCTTCAATTGGCTTCACTATTTGCAACTTTTGAGGTAATCTCCAGTCACTGGCATTGTTGCTGCCAAAGTTGCTCAAACCAGACTTGCCACTACCTGTATGGGTAGAAGTTACTTATATAACATATGACCTTTTATGTTACTGTACACACACACACACACATACACAAACATATAGGGTATATACTGCATACTGTATGTATTAATGAATATGGACACAGTCAGTACCTGTTTAATGTAATTCCATTTGCAGACACAGACAGATGCTGTATTCACTGCTCATTCCCCCTTTTTCCAAATGTCTTACACATCCACACTTTTCCTTGTCTCTTCTGTGCAAGACAATTTTCCTACAGTAAAACCCTTTTAATACAGACTCGTTTTATCCAGATTTCTGCTTTACCCGGACTAGCAAACCACTCTGGACTAACTTCGGTTAATCCAGATTGAGTCTGGATTAACATGAAATAGTCTGGCTCTACCCACGTGATGGCAAAAATAAATAAACACTTTTGATCACTTGAATCACTAACCTGCAGTATAGTATATATAATTCCTGTACCTACCAGACATACAGTGTTTCCCAAAAAGTTGGTGATATGGTTGATGGTGAATTTTTTTTCATGTTATAATTCTCTATTAAATCTTTTGCAGACACAGCTTTCTCATGATCTTTCAGAACTGCTAGCTTGTCCTTCAAACTAAACTCCTTTTTGGCCTTATTCTGACTTCCTTTTGAAGTTGTCTTGCCTTTAGAAGTTATGGTAAATAGTCCACAAGTCACAAATAGTCCACAGAGTTAAGATATGCACACACAGTACTGTAACAGTGCAACTGGCCTGTAAGCAAAGTGGCTGGGGCTGGAGTTTGTGTGCACCAGATGGCATTCCGTATTGCCATCCGGATTTTTCATCTGGATTTTTCAGTGTTAATCCAGAATTTTTTTGGATTAAATAAACCCTCTCCAGAAATTGATTTATCTGGAAATTAGCTTATTATGGACTGGATTTCCCCAATTAATCTGGAGGGTTTTACTGTATTGTATACTTGCTCAATGTTCTAAGTGTATTGCTCAAACTTCACCATTCTGTCATAATTGGTGGCAAGTTGGGGAAGTGTTTTCTTTTTGGTGGATATCTGTAACATGGGTTTATATGGGAAATTAATGTCCACTTACCATATAAAGTTTTCAGGAATGTATCATTTGTATTAACCAGGCACTAACTGTATTTAAGGTAGTACAGTAAGTTGATTGAGCATTGTCAACCATGATAGTTCTAGTGGGAGACTTGTAATCAAAATTAAGATCTGAGACAACTTCAACTTCCATTAAAGAAAAAAAATAAGTTTAGTTAGAAAGGTAGAAAAAGTGGAAGGGAAGATTTATGATTTTATTTTCAGTTGATGAAGACTTCATAAATGAAAATGTAATGAACCTCAAAGTTGTTAATATGGTATACTAACATTCATATTCAAAAATGAAAATATCCTCTTACCTGTTGACATGATGGAATCAGGAGTACGGCATCCATAAGGTAAGAACTGTGATGGTGTTCCTGAACGATTCCCAGGACCAAGCCGACGCAGGCAAGAGTCTAGATCTGGTGTCCCTGGCCACCCAGGTACACCTAAATGGCTTCCTCTGTTCCAAATAAATATTTCCACTTCAATAATGTGTAAAGTCTACATCCAATTATAACTAGGGGAGGGGGGAATACAATTACTTTTAATTTACTGTATAAAACTATTATGAAGGAAATATTCTACAGTAACATGTATCAAAATAACATATAATTTTTCAGAGCACCATAAAACACAGTTAAATTTAATTATTCTTAATACGTAACAACACATCTCACAATGTATACCCCATGCAATCTTTTATGGACACTTTGGTTTTAAATTCTATTTCTCAACACTCATTTATCAGTGATATAGAAGTTTGCTCATGAACCAATAACCAAAGATATCTGCATGAGAGAGAGAGAGAGAGAGAGAAAGGGAGAGAAAACGAATATGGATGCCAAAAGACAGCATGGTGTCCATACAGAGGAAAAAGATTCAAAAGCACATTCTATACAGTATTAATGTTGTGCAAAGAAATACTAACGGGTAGTTATCCTCTGAATCTGTGTGCATAGAAGCATCAGAATCTGCACCAGAATCCAAAGATGGATGTCCTGATCCCCCAGAATAGACAGATGAGCCTTGGGAACCCATATAAGACATAGCATAGGTGCCCCCACTGGATGCCATATGTGTAGGAGTTGCCATATGTGATGGGGTGTGCAGATGGCGGGTAGGCGTGGAGTGCAGTGATCCTCCATATCCCAAGGAACTGAGAGAACCCTGTGATCCTGAGCCAACGTATTTGCCTGTCAGACGCACGGTGTCAAATGTGCGACGCATACTGCTGCTGGAGAGAGACAGTGCAAATTAACTTAAAGCAAGCATGACTGTAGGAAATTAAATGAAATAAAATAAAGCTTTAAATGCAACACACAAGACTTGACTCAACACATAATGCCAGATATGTTCATCGTGTTATTTGTCTAATCAAATCCCTGGTTCTTACTATCAAGCACAGTGGCCTCTTAAAGATAGCATTACTCAGATTATCACCATTTTCACATATAATAATAACTAGTTTCACATTCAACACCTTGCAATACAATCAGCCTATCTTATCCTACAACCTTTTATTGCTAATCAACTTTTCACATTTCCTCTTCATTAAAGTCCCTTTATCATCCCAGGGCATGTCAATTGGGTGTCTATAACTTTTTACTCCACTTTTCACAATGATGTGAAGTTAAGAACATTGTGTGTATGTAATCAAAAGTACTGTATATTATGAAAATTAAGCAATTCATTCATATCTGGAAAAAATAGTATCAGTGACGTAAAGATTAAGTTAATACTGTACATAAAACCTACGCTGATTTTTCCAATCCTACCTGACATATCTACAGTATATGTCCACTTGGCTTTCCCAATCCATGTACCACACTCACATAGCCCATCATTACTAGTCTCTTGCTCTCCACTATTGGCTACATAAATACTTTAAACATCTTGTTTGATATTTTTCTGAGAATTTGAAGGGTGATCAAATATATAATTTTCTTCACATGTGTCACCCACTAAAATGTTTATTTTATATCTAAAAACTCATACACTGCCTGATATACATTTATTCTACAAGCTGACTCGGCCATTACAAAATGATGCAAACGACAATGACTTAAGATCATGTGGAGAGAAAGCGGGTTGCCTCAGCCCAACCAGTAAACACTAGCAAAGGAAAGAAAAAGGAAGCATCATAATAAGTCAATAAAGGCACAATCAGGAGAACCAGTAAAAGGTAGATAGTAGAAAACAGCATTTACTGAACACTTTGTGTGTGTGTGTGTGTGTGTGTGTATAATAGTCAACATGCTCGCTTTGCAAGCGAATGGACCAGGGTTCAATCCTCAGGAAGGGTGAAACTATGAGCAAGTTTCTTTATGCCATTTGCCTCTGCCTACCCAGCAGTAATAGGGAACCTGGATGTTAATCGACTTGCGGATCGTGTTCTGGGGTAATGGTTAGCCACTGCAGTTGGTGAGTTGTCCAGTCTTCTCAGACTACTCCTTGACACTAGGTTATGCAACTCGTTTACTTAGGGTGTGGTTGTTGTGTTGGTGACAGGTTCTACACCTTAAACAAATTCACGTCTAGGTTGCCCTAGGGTCAGCCATCCTTGTTACATGAGGGGCAACCATATATTATTACTGTATTATTATTATTATTATGAATTGTTATACAGTAGGTATACTGTACTATATTGTATACCCAGTATATACTAATTTTCATAAACTTTGAAAACCATTTTTTCACTTCCATAATTACATGGGTTTTTTTTATAAACTTGCAGTTAACTGCTTTGAATGTCTTTTATATTTCTTTTCATATCAAACAAGTCTGAAATAGTTTTCTGTTACCTGTCGAGCTTGAATATCTCATACTAGAGAATATGTAAACGAGTCATTTCAATTCATTTGAAAGGTCAAGAGTTATCCTCAAAAATTACAACCTAGCAAGTATTCTAACACCTTCTGACCTCTCAATGCCTGGCAAAACACAGTAATTGTTCACCACTTCAGCCTTCGTACAGGAAACACCTCATCCAATTAACATCACGTATACTGAGTTGTAAATTCTTCTTTTCAAAACCCATTAATCAGTCCTTCACATTTATAAAATAGTACTGTACTTTAATTTAAATATTTGTTCTTTTGGTCATTTTCACTCTTTCCTGTTGATCTTATTGCAAAAATTCTTAGTTTTAATAAACCTATGTCCAGGACTTCTGAACATTTTGCTTTGTTTGAAGGTGGCAGGGGAGGAGAGCTGGGGGTAGAATATGGGGAGAGGTTGTAATAAATGACCCGAGAGATAAGAACCTGAAGAGAATAGTTGCAACAGACTGTGTACCTTGGAGGGCTGCCAGCATGTAACCATGAATAACCCATGCAAGTGCAAAAAATGGCCATAAAACAGTGATAATGAAACATCTCAAATTTTAAATGCTCTACATGCACCCCTAACAATATTCCTTTTTTCCTTTCAATAAGTTTCAACTCCATTTAGGATTTGTGAAATTTGTATTTCAAGAGATACTAGTCATTTTTCTTTCTTATACAATCTCTCTAATCATATTATCTATACAGTCTATGCTTATTGCATATAAGAAAGAATGGTACATACAGTAGTTTTTTTATATAAAGAAAATCAGACATAATCTTAAGCTTTTACCACATCTCTAGCTGTGCACCTAGACTTTTTGAGCACTGGCAAAAACTCATTGTGACAAAGCCTGGATAATGAAAGCTTCATCCATTCATTACTGCAATTTTGTGTACTGTGTATGAATTCAAGTAGAGTGTGTTCTTAAAAAATACTTCACAGAGCATAAAATAAAAATAGAATAAGTAAGAGTGTACTGTACAGTACTGTACTGTATGCAGTGAGTGAAAAATGAGTACAATACCATACAACATTATTAATAATGCAATTATTTTACCACACATACAGTACGTACTGCACTAATTCATTAATCTAATTAAAAAATAAATCAAATTACAAATATTTACTGTAAAACACATATGCAATATTTTGAGTAAACACATGACATTTCACTGAAATGTGATACAATGTTTTTCAAATTCATTTCAGCCATAAGTACAGTAATACCCCGCTTTACGCGGTTTCACTTTCCGCAATTTCGCATTTACGCGGTACCTCGCCAGAACCAGACTTTCACTTTACGCGGTGCATCTACTCACATACGCGGGAAGCGGCTCGGGCAGGATGCACACAAGGTCGCCCAGTCATCAAAACATTACCGAGTTCTTCACCCGCCATTTTCATGGAAGGTGACTCACCTTCCAAGGAACAGTAAAATGCTTCTCCTCCACCCCCACTTCCTTCTCCTCCTCCACCTCCCACTTCAAATTCACATCAGCATCATCATCCAGGAGCCTTCTACATACGCACATCAAAGTAAGTGTACTTTACTGCATTTTCTTTTTACTTAAGGTAATTTTTAGTGAGTTGGAACCAATTAACCAAAAACCCATTGAAATAATGGTTACGGTTATTGAAATTTTCGGTTAACGAACAACCTTCTGGAACGAATTGTGTTCGTTAACCGAGGGACCACTGTAATATGAAAGTTGAAGTGGATCTCAGGTTGGTCCCATGCCACTAAACCCTTAATTCCCATTGAATCAATAGTTACTACAACACGTTTTTAATATAATGCGGTGTTTTTCAGGAATGCAACTACCGCATGAGTTATAGGAGAACTGATTGTACTTGTATTTTTAAGGTGCTGACAGGTACACACAACATATTCTTCACCTTTGGCAGGCCAGAGGAGGTAAACAAGTATGAAAGCATCAGAAAACTATAGTGATGTACATATGTGAAGTAAGCACTGTTTATTTGTTAATACAGTACAGTATTAATGTAACAGTCTATTTATACTAGTACTGTAGTAAAGCTTATAAAGCATCCTGAGTTACAAAAATCATGTAAGAGTAGTGCACATAATGCCAGTGTTAGGCAGCAAATGTACTGTTTAAATGTGTCTTTAAATTAAAACCCCAATCTTCTGCCTAAATACTGTATCATGCCTACAATTACAAAATAAGAACAACTTTTTTTCAGTTTACAGTAAACAGCGATCAGCATTCTCTCCTTGCAACCAGTCACTTGTGTATCAATAAATCATTCTGCAGTTTTCAGACTACTAAGCTTACAAATTGTGTCAGAACATGAAAAACATATAAAAAAAGCAGTGGTGTTACTAAAATCCAGAATAAGAGAGAAAATACTTTACAGCCAAGCATACTGAAGACTTTCCTCCACCATTACACAACACTGTACTGTACTGACAATAATTACTGCCTATATGGATCATAAATTTATTTTATGTGACATAATAATTGTATGCTAGATTTTAGGAACACAATGAAACTCTGGGTGCAAGCAGTGAGTTTTTCCTTGGGGTAACTGGTACCTGTATTGGTACAGGGCTGACTGGCTTAAGCCACACATCGGCAGAGTTCCATGCTTGCTGTTGAAGTACAGATGTAGCTGTCACCAATAATTGTATATCCCTTGGTGAATTCAGTAATTTTTCATAAATGTAATAACAGCTTAATATTACCTAAACCTTTTTCTTCACACTGAATTTCAAGAATGATAAAATGCTATTCTGATAAAAAGAAATTACAGGTTAGTATGCAAAACTTCATACACTACATTACTACCCATAAGTGAATACAAAATGCACAAGATCTACACGTACATGAATAAGACAGCCATCTGACTTGCTTATAAGAAAAATTTGGGGGTAGAGAATTCAGGTGGCTCTTCAAATTTTCCCCATTATATTTAAAAAAAAAAAATTTATGTTAAATATGTGCTACATCTAGAAGGCATACTCTTATACAATAATATATATATTATTATATATGTTATGTTTTCCAGAGACAGGAGCTTTATAAATCAATACATTATTTTAAATTATTTCAAAGCTGTATGGTGTCCACAGTCAAAGATAATGGTTAAGTTAATAAAGAAGGAGGTGGTACCTGTACAAGGTGGAGATTTATATAGAAGAAGGAAGATGGCCCATGATACTCTAATACAATGAAAAAAAATGTGTCTGATAAACCTTAAGAAAATCTCGATGATTGTGAATTAACTGATCAATCCTGTTGCTATTTTAATATTGGCCAATATATGCCTTCAAGCAACCTGCATACTCACATGCACTACTACTCACCATACAATCAAATAAACAGAAGTTAAAAGTACAAATACTGAAAGTGTTAAACCAACTGCATACAATGATGTTAAAAATATTGTTTACTAAAATGCAGATGAAAAGGTATAAAGGGAGAACTTGTAAAGTATGAACACACCTGGGTCCCTTCCCTGTCTCATCACCCATGGAATTAAGAGAGTGGAGTTCACTGGCAATGGAGTCATTTCCACCAGAGTTGAAAGGAGAACTAAAGAGGCTGCTGCCGAGATGGTGACCACGACTCCCTGGCACATTCTGTGAAATAACAAGACAACTGCACTAACTGCTGCTAGAGTTATAGGATTTTGTGTTATTATTCATCTCATCCTATGTAAGCTTCTTAAGTGATGGTAGCACTGTTATAATTATTACTTCAATTCTTCAAGCACTTTTTTGGCCTAATATATTTAGAAAAACACAGTGAAAACACATGGATGACTACAATAATAGTACCACAATATAAGAGGCAAAAGGTGTTAAAAATCATCATATTTTTCATGATAGTATTCCTTTATGACAAACAGATCCTCACCTTCCTTTGCACCCGTCTAAGTTGATCTTGTGTATCGTGTAATAAGTCGAGCACTTCTGCATATTTTTCTTTTAGTTCAGCCAACTCCATTGTTAACTCCTGCTGGCAATCTCGTGCCACTCCCACCATGTTGGCCAATTCATCATTTTCAACCATCAGCCGTTTGCTACGGGACTGTAGGTCAACCACTTGAGCGAGGAGGTGTGTGATTTCTTCTTGTTGTCGGAGAGAATCCTCCACTTTCCTTGCGAGTTCTTCGCTAAGTTGACCGACTTGTAAATTTGCATCACCTATTGATGTACAGATGTCTATTAGTACCAGTAAAGATTTTTAAGGTTTATTGTTGTATTTTTGTAATGAATTGCCTTCAACTGTTATTCATAAATTACAGTACTGTACTGTACTGTACTGTACTGTACTGTACTGTATTTGAGAAAAACACACAAGAGCAAACAAGTTAATGTGATGTTCTAAGTGAACATAAAGTTTTGGTACTAGAGAAGAATGATACAATGAAGGCTACCAAAGATAACGAGAGAGAGAGAGAGAGTGCATGCCCAGTATTTGCCAACAGTGCGTGACAGAGAAGTGACCGATCGCCTGGGCGGCTAGCGAGCCAACCTTTTGGTAAAGAGGATAAATGAAAAGGAAAAGTAATCCGAGACATGACTGATCGCCCAAGCGGCTAACGAGCCGATCAGTGGCAAAGAGGATAAAACTAAATAAGCAGGAATAACCAACTTTAAAACAGCATCCCTCTACAACACAGAATACCCTGAATGTGAAGCTTAAACCTTTACAAAACTGCAAACACTGTAGCTCCAAATTAGGTGGATTTTTTCATTTTACACAAAGAGTCACAAAAGCACAATACTGTACTGTACAGTATATTGTAGGTGTGTGTGTGCCTCCCACTACTGTACTGCCTACAGCAGTTTGAATCACAACCACTATTGTTGTGATATAAACTACTGTAGGCAGTACAGTAGTGGGAGGCACACACATATACAATATACTGTACTGTACAAGGCCACCAATTCTTGAATCTACACCTAATCCTACAGCAACTTCATCAATTTTAATAAATTCCATATACTGTACTGCGTGTCACAAATATCTAAATACAGGTGCTCCTCTGCTTAAGAACGTTCAACTTACAAACTTTCAGAGATACAAACATCAACACTGAGGGGGGTTACCTGCCAGAACAGGTGTTTAATGTGGATGAGACTGGATTATTTTGAAGAAAATTCCAGATAGAACAAACATTACCTAAGAGGAGAAGAGTGAGCCAGGTTTTTAGGCTGTATTAAAGGGCATAGCTGTACTAAATATCCATAATCTTTTCGTTTTTTACAATATGTTTGGTATCTACAAGAGTAAAGTTGGACTTACAAACAAGCCTCAGGAACGTGACTCGTTCGTAAGTAGAGGAATACAGTACCTGTATGCAGTATCCATATCCATGACTGCTGTATTTTTATCATACAAAAACTATTGTAATAAAAGCTATGTAAGGTGCAGACTAAAAATAGCAAAACTAACATTCATATTAGTTTCATACGTATTTAGAAAAATCACTAAGTTACTTTTCCAATTTGGGATATAATGGTGTATTCCAAATTATTAGAGCTTTCAATATAGAACCAGATTTTTAAGCCACCATTATTGTCTGAATTAGAAGGAATTCAGAATTTGGGAATGTGAAATTCTACAGGGATTACAGATTCGCATATTTTTATTTCGTGGTCCTCTATTACTTGCAGATGACACCCTGGATGCACCCAAAAATGTCTGCAGGTAGTTTTAAAGTTGCCGGCAGGGACAGGGAGCCATTCGTTCTAGAGACAATAATTTCCTTTACCTGTATTGTATATATGAGTGTGTGTGTAAACACATACAAATAAATAATACAGTACTGTACTGTAATGGGAAAATCCTCTCACAAATAATCAGAAACAAATGTAATATTAAAAATGTTGAGTTTACCCTCAAGTCTACTCTAACAAAGCACGTACCGGTAGTAGTCTTGAGGGTAGACTCAACATTTTTAATACTATATTTGTTTGATTATTTGTGAGAGGATTTTCCCATTATTATTTATATACAGCACAGGTAAAAGAAATAATTGTCCTTCGGGGAATATACATATACATTTCTTTGTACACAAGTAAAAATGTACCCCCCCCCCCCCAGTCAGCAAATGTTATTTGCAGATTTGGTGATTCACGGGCATTTAGAGAACCTAACCCCCACGAATTTGAAGGGCATGCTGTACTGTACACTACAGTACAAGGAAAGGGACAAATAAATTTGAAGGATTACTTACAATAGTTTATGCTAATTTTTTTTTACATTAAGTACAGTTGTGTACAGTACTTCATCATATCAGTGAGGAAAACTTACTAAGCTGTTTGATGACATCTGTGACCAGCTCTTTTTCTTTGTCTTCACACTCCAGGGTGTCAGTGGCCAGCTGGGAGGCCTCTTGGCGTAAGGTTCTGTTTTCATCTTCCAAGTTCCTCACTCGGTGTTGTAGGATGTCAACATTAATTACCCGCAGGCCTGTTGGAGTTGCTGTGGAAAAGGATGTATCACATACTGTACTCGTCTCTGTAACTCTGTTCTAAATTCTTTAAAACTTATGGAGAAAAAAGAAATATTATATGCAAACAATTCTTGTCTGAATTTCAAAGCTTTAAAATCTTAAAGGACAATTATAGTACCTGTACAGTACAGGTATTTACAAAGATTGGTGATGGACTGCAGAATTTAGAACAGCATACAGTATCTATTTAAAACTATAAAAGGAACATTAGTGAATTTAATTTATTAAATCAAACATTAATGAACAAATCTGTAAAAATAATTGCTATAAATATTTTTAACATGTTTTGCTTCCCATATACACAACATAGAGAATACAAAACAAAGAAGTTGATGCCCATAAATAATGTACGGTAACTTACTTTCACAACTACTGGTGTCGTCTACATCATTGGTGTAAATCTGCAGTAAGTCTGTTTTCATCTGCAGGTCATGCTTGAGTTGTGTAATTTTGTCACTGGCTGCGGACACTTCTGCATCAAGTATGGCATTGCGCTCCTCTAAGACCTTGTTGCGGTTCAAGAGTTGCTGGCCGATCTTGGCAGCAAGTTCAAGGTCTTTCTCTTTCTGCAAGGCCATAGTGCTTTGAAATATTACAGTAACAATGAAATTAAAAATACTATACAGTACTGTACCTGTAAAAGTAAAGTACTGTACAGTACTAAACACCCAATGAAAATATTGAAGACAAAAACATATTGTTTACAAAATGCACCATTTGCTGTGTGTGTGTGTGTGTGTGTGTTAATAGTACAGTATAACCGATTGATGAAGCAAATGATTCGCCAAGGCTTTCAACAGCATACCACATGATGCCAATGCTTTTGACAGCGTACCCCATGAAAGGCTGAAAATTAAACTGGAAGGGTACAGGATATGGGGAAAATTCCTAGTGTGGTGATTAATGGCATGAAATTACCATGTGTACCCGTCACAATCGGGGTACCACTGGGCAGTGTATTGGGCCCGCTGTTGTTTGTTTGCTTTATACAGTAAATGACATGCCTAACGCTGTATGTTCCTCTATACAAATGTTTGCGGGTGACATTAAGTTATTTCGGGAAATTAAGAACCAAGCAGACTGTGAAGAGCTGCAGAAGGATATCTGTGAGCTTCAAGAATGGTCAAAGAAATGGCTGCTCAGATTCAATGTAACGAGTGTGAGAGGCTGAACCTGGGACATACCAACAGTTAAGAGGCGTATCATATATCCCAACACGATGAAGAAACTGCATTAATTGAGACTGAATGTGAAAAGGACCTAGGAGGGTATGATAACAACAAGCTGAAGTTCTTGGGCCATTGCGAGAAGAAGGTGAATTGGGCAACTACATTATTAGGTCTTCAAGAGTGAGGTGCCCCGTCTGGAGTACTGTCACCCTGTCTGGTCCCCAAGATATGCTAGGGACTGTCAGTTGATTGAAAATGTCCAAAGGACCTGAAATTGCCTAGCTTAAACTACAGACGGGCGAGGGGGACCTAATTGAGGTGTATAAACATCTGAAAGGGCACTACTCAGTAGAGTGCCCGTACCTGGAGCTGCCGGACGCTGGTCCCACAAGGGGTCACAGCTAAAGGTTGAAGGAGCCACAAGCCCAGAAAACTGTGAAAGGTAATGTTTTCGGAGTGAGAGTTGTGAACTCTTGGAACAATCTACCAGAAAGTGGTGTCATGGCACCGAGTGTGAGCTCTTTCAAGACCAGACTTGACCAACACTGGAGCGGGTTCAGGTACATTCAGGAGCCGGTGCATGCCCAGTACTTGCCAACAGTGTGTAACAGAGACGTGACCGATCGCCCAAGAGGCTAACGAGCCGATCAGTGGTGAAGAGGATAAAAGTAAAGTAAAAAAAAAAAGTTTGTGTGTGTGTGTGCAATACACCAGTTGCCAGCGTCAATACCCTTGATATCTAGGTCAAGTTAATTTCTTAAATTTCGCTACCCAAGTACAGTACAGTATACCTCATCCGCCACAGCCTATATATCTTTGGTCTAAGCTTAACCTCTTATTTATTGGCAGTTAAAACATATTATGAATGACTGACATGAGCATCTGAATGTCGACTATCAGTGATTTATACCTGAAGTTTAACAAGAGAACATTTCTCAACAAGATGGGTCACTTACCTCTTGGAGAAGGCGGGTCACGGCATCAATATCATTGTAAGTCTTGGTCATCTGGCTTACACGGTTCCCGCATAACACTGTAACAAAAGAAACATAGTGGTTATTATTATTGGACCCTCACTGGAATATATCCTCATTCTCCCTACAGTTTAAGTAAGTGTCCAGGGTTTGAGACTACCAAAGCCTTTTCCTATATCCCTCCTCTTATTCAGATATGACTAAGCAGATTATTCTTTAATTGACCCTCTGCATCCCCACCAAAATAAATTTACTGTTTTTTATGACACTGTCCAAAGTTCATGAGGAGTAGACTAATTTCCTTCACGACATCCAACCCACAAAAGCCAGCATACTCGTACTCTACTTCATATAAAATCCCTCAACCCATGGTAAAGTACATTTCCTTTTTTCGCAACACTTCTCCAGCCAATGGAAAGTAGAATACTTATTTCATGACACTTCCGGTCCATGGAGAGTACACTGAAGTTATTCTGACACTTCCAGTCCCCTCTACTATACCAAAAAGAGATAATTACTATTTGTCATGACGTTCCCCCAACCCATGACAGAGTATTACTGAAGGTTTTCCACACTGACATTCTATTATTATAAAGACAACACTACAATGTTAATATTGCAAATGACCTCAAACTACTGTAACAGAAACAATTATCTTACCTGTTCTTCCTAGGTTGTGGTAACAGAGGTAAACAGGGGATAATATAAACCTCTATCAGGACGCCAATAATAGCTAAACACACCTCAGTCATATTGTCTTACTGGGTTTTAAATCATTTCTATACATAATCCAAGAGTTGTTGAACCCTAAGTTAAGAAGAATCATCACAACCAGTAAACTAATAATCAAACACATTTAATGGCGATTGGATATTTTCGGTCAGATTCAATTAGCTATGTATGTATGTATGTATGTATGTATGTATGTATGTATGTATGTATGTATGTATGTATGTAAGTTCTTTGGTTATTAATTTGTATACTGTACACAGCTGTATGTATTATTGTTGAGATGTTCACCCACTAAAAAATTATTCGGCATCCTTGGCTCTGATACACCCCCGCAACGATCACTGGTACAGAAGCCGGGATTACGTGGTGTGGTTGGTGCCCCTGTCTCTCTCTGTATGTGTGTAAAGAGAGAGAGAGAGAGAGAGAGAGAGAGAGAGAGAGAGAGAGAGAGAGAGAGAGAGAGAGAGAGGTACCAACCATACCACGTAATCACGGCTTCTGTACCAGTGATCGTTGCGGGGGTGTATCAGAGCCAAGGATGCCGAATAATTTTTTAGTAGGTGTATATAAAATTATCAGTACTGTACTGTACTTTGCCACCACAAACCTTGTCTGCCTTTTACACTGAAGCATTATAATCTTTACTCAACACACTATCAAAACAGTATCTGAGCACATTAGGTCCGATGATTTCCTAAATGATCATTACACCTTTGACGCTATACATAGTTCGCAAGATAAATCTATTTTATTCTGAATGTGCATATAATAGAAATACTCACTGCAGTATGCATAAAATAGATAGTGTCGCTATCAATAGATATATGGAATTTTGCAATAGCCATCGTCTGTGGTGTCTGATTCTTTCGCCCGGAATGTGCAGATACTTTATTGATCGTGTGTACATTGGTATACGGGTAATCAAATATGAATACTTCATCTTATTTATTGATGATATACCACACAATGATTTACTAAAAATATATTTTCTGTGTAAATACAATCAGGTATACGGAATATGTACAGGTTTTTTTTTGTAGGTAGATTTGTCCAGTACCAGAGTGTGGGAACAATCACTGAGACGCATGACAACATATTCCATTATCAATACATCCTCCAGGCTTCCAAAAACTCTAGATGTGAGAGTCCTTCAGTGCCAGTTGGTTGATGTGTTAAAGCTGAGTGGTGGAACAGCTGAGCCAGGGTGAGTGCATCAAAATATAATTGTTAGCAGTGGCGGGTATTGACCAACTGGCCGACCCCAACACACACACTCCGGCCTACACACACATCCAGGAGGTTTATTATTATTTAATACACATTCACTGTTTACAGCTCACATATATCAACATACATACATACCACTCTTGAGGTAAATCAGTAATGACTATTTTGTAATACTTGTTTCCTTATCCTGAACAATCTAATAGCCGTATTGATAGTGCAAACTTGAGGCCAACGACATGGGTACGACGCTGTACTTACTACTTACACAAACATTTCTGGAATGATTACATCATACTAGTGAATGACTTCCAGCCTGATCTTGTAGGAGTTGACCCTTGTTTTACCTACCAGAACTACTATTTTGACATTATTTCACTCGTGATAACTATTCACAACCTTTCTAGCATTCTACCTGCAACGAAATACTTCTGCTACTCTCGACAGGGACAGTTACTAAAGGAGGTAACGAAAGGTCAAGCTGGCGGCTCATCTTCAAAATCGGGGTCGTTTTGGGTGATAGATGACAAGGCGTTGGAGACCCGTTGCTGCACACGAAGACGCCGCTGCCAGTACTCTAGCTGTGCTCCTAAGACTCTCATCTTAGCCTCGTGCTCTGCTACAGACTGCGCTATCTGTAATCTAAGCAGCTGCAGTTGTGTCTGGTGCTGTTCCTCCGTGTGTCGGATTGTGGTCTCTACACCTGACAGACGCTGATGAAGACGGTCATCCAATGGTGGCTCAGCTGGAGAGTCTGTTCTTGCGTGTTTGTCTACGGGAGTTGAGGGGGCGGATGTGGTATTGGGAGATGTGTTTAGAATTGCCTGAGAAACACCATTAATAGTGACGGACGCCCCTGAGGTAGAAGTACATGTGCCTGAGGTAGTGGCGGTCGTAGTCGGGGCGGAGGTAGCTGTCGTTGGTGAGGTGGAGGTAATGGAAGTGGCATCCATGGAAGACCTCAGAATCGTTTGACATAGCTCAGAATCCGCTGTTGAAAAGGATGACACAGCATGAGGAAGGAGAAGCCCAGATGCCAGCTGAGAACCTGGATTAGATGTCAAAAATGGTAGAGTAGTTAATGATCCTAAACCACCACTTAAGAGGGAAGACACCAGTGGGTGGAGGTTTAGCACAGCTGGTCCTCGATCACTGAGAGGGTGAGTGTGATCGAGACTTTCCTGAGATTGGAGAGGATCGTCCTCCACTTCGTCTTTTACGTCTTTCTCTACTTCTTCAATATCATCTAGATTTCTGTGAGATTCTTCTTCGGATTCTCCTCTCCAGTCCCCCACTTCTCCAGCCTCCCTGGGTGTGGTGTTGTTTAGGGGTGGTGACGGTGGTCCGGGCAGCGTCACACCATCAAGAGGCCAACTTGACTCAACGCTATTGTTCTGCTGTCTCGCACTTCTCTGACTTTCTGAACCCAATTTGCGTGCGCGATACTTGAGATTCTCCCACGCCTTTCTTAGTTGTTTTGTGTCGCGGGACCTGACGTGTGGATGAGCGTTATATCTCGCCGTCAGGAGCCGCCACATCTCGTTCCTGATGGGGTGTTTATGGACGTCCGGTGGGTCGAACTCAGTAACACCAGCGTACTGTCGCATGAGAAGTCTCAGTACCGCCTTCTCATGTTGTGTCCACATTGGGCGTCTCTGCTCGCGGCCCGCTGCCCCGCCTGTGCTGTACACCAGGGGCATTCCGACGCCCTCTAGCATCCTCACACACACCACCTTAATTTAGGACACAACACTGCCCCCCACCTGCTCTTCAAGACATCGTAAACTTTAAGACATGTTTTGTACGCTTCCTGCACTAGTCAGCGATCCCCTGAGGTATAGGTGGGCATTGTTGCACTAAAGTACGTTTGGCTTATCACTGTAACGTCCTGCAACATGAGGTATCTAATATCAATGGTTTTCCTTATTTCTGAAAAAGAAATGTCACAATTTAATTAACGATGACAAGAAAATAATAACAAGGGTATAATTCAACATTTTCGACACACTAAATTTCTGGTAATAGTTTCACTATAAAGGTTACAGTAATAATAATTATTATAGGTCACGCTACACAAACCTAAAGAATTCATCCACCTGAACAATGTTTTTGTGATCTTCCTCTCATTTTACACTCAAATATAATATTGAACGTAAATTCCCTATAATTGAAACAATGCACTAATAAAGATGAGACAGACGGGGCAACAAGACCCCCACAACACAGTAATACGCACCTTATCCTCCCCAGTGATAGAGGAAGGAAGCATCGGAGTGTAACAGCATTATGAGATACAAAATATTATTACGGTATGTAAACAATGTAATTGGCCAGTCTGCCATTTTGAATTAAATAAAACACAATAAAACCTCCATCATCCCCATACGAACCAGAATGTGGCAAAATATCATAAAATTGTCTAATTTTAACATAAAAGACATAATCCCACTGAAACCAGTAAGACAAAATGGCCGACACTCCACCATTTGGAATAACCAAGAAATAATTTAACTAGTGTAATCCATTTACTGTCCTCAAAGTCTGACAAATTTCATACAATTATCTCCTCCCATTAGCACACGATCCACGTTCACAAAATGTTTAGCCAGACATGTGGACAAGCAATCCTACTTTACTCAAGTATGTAACAGACTGATAATATTGTAGAGACAATAGATGTGAACCCCTCCACGTGAAGTTAGATAACTTCTGAACCCCTCCACGTGAAGTTATATAACTTGTGAACCCCTCCACGTGAAGTTATATAACTTGTGAACTACTACACGTGACGTTCTATAACTTGTGAACCCCTCCACGTGAAGTTATATAACTTCTGAACTACTACTACACGTGACGTTCTATAACTTGTGAACCCCTCCACGTGAAGTTATATAACTTCTGAACCACTACACGTGACGTTCTATAACTTGTGAACCCCTCCACGTGAAGTTATATAACTTCTGAACTACTACACGTGACGTTCTATAACTTGTGAACCCCTCCACGTGACGTTCTATAACTTGTGAACCCCTCCACGTGAAGTTATATAACTTCTGAACCACTACACGTGAAGTTCTATAACTTCTGAACCACTACACGTGAAGTTCTATAACTTCTGAACCCCTACACGTGAAGTTATATAACTTCTGAACCCCTCCACGTGAAGTTCTATAACTTGTGAACCACTACACGTGACGTTCTATAACTTCTGAACCCCTACACGTGAAGTTATATAACTTCTGAACCCCTCCACGTGAAGTTATATAACTTCTGAACCACTACACGTGAAGTTCTATAACTTCTGAACCCCTACACGTGAAGTTATATAACTTCTGAACCCCTCCACGTGAAGTTCTATAACTTGTGAACCACTACACGTGAAGTTCTATAACTTGTGAACCCCTCCACGTGACGTTCTATAACTTCTCAACCCTACACGTGAAGTTCGAAAACTTCTGAACCCCTCCACGTGAAGTTCTATAACTTGTGAACCACTACACGTGAAGTTCTATAACTTATGAACCACTGCACGTGAAGTTCTATAACTTATGAACCACTGCACGTGAAGTTCTATAACTTATGAACCACTGCACGTGAAGTTCTATAACTTGTGAACCACTACACGTGAAGTTCTATAACTTATGAACCACTGCACGTAAAGTTCTATAACTTGTGAACCACTACACGTGAAGTTCTATAACTTATGAACCACTGCACGTAAAGTTCTATAACTTATGAACCACTACACGTGAAGTTCTATAACTTATGAACCACTGCACGTGAAGTTCTATAACTTGTGAACTACTACACGTGAAGTTCTATAACTTGTGAACCACTACACGTGAAGTTCTATAACTTGTGAACCACTACACGTGAAGTTCTATAACTTCTGAACCACTACACATGATATTTTAAAGCAGACCACAGTTGTAGGTAAACCTCGTGTAGGTTCCCGCACACTCACAAACTGAATTGGTGAGCACACGTCAGCACAATTGTCAAGTCTTTCTGCTTTCATCTCATAACCCTTGGTTATGAGACGATGGGTGTCTATACTCAACATTCATGCTTCCTAAGATCACCTATGGTTCTCCTGCCTGATCATTCTCCTTAAATGGCACACAGAGAGGACTCCTAGAAAGAGTGCAGAAAAGGGCGTGCAAGACTATTCTCTCCCCCTCTTACACCACTTATCAAGAAGCGCCCAATATACCGATCCTCTCGGCTCCCTCTGATCATCACCATGACCTCATCTGTAAGTTTAAGGAGAATCTATTACACCATCCTCGTCATCATCTGCTCCCACCTGAGATCCCTCGCCCGCGAATTGCTGTTCAACACTACAACTACACCCAGCCTAAATGACCACGTACTGATCGCTATAAAGAACAGATCAATTCCATTCATTGAAAAATTATCAACAACTCGTAGTTAACCTGTGTGCTAACTCCCTACCAATCTCACTCTTGTACTGAAACTGTGTTGAAATTCTTCTGTAAATGACCCTCTCCCCTTGTTATTATATACTGTATGTGCCATTTATGTCATCTGTATATTTTCAGCTTATGGCTGCTGTATTTGTTAATACACTGTTAATCATCATCATCATCATCTCTCTCTCTCTCTCTCTCTCTCTCTCTCTCTCTCTCTCTCTCTCTCATACAGAGTAATAATATATATTTTTGATAACTCATGTGTATATGATAGTGCGTGCGAATGTGTTTGTGTGTTTGCGTAAGGGGGTGGGAGATGCAGCGGTCGTGTCCTCGGGGTGGTCGACGACACGCACTCATCACAGAGACGCCCACCGTGTCCCAGCATAATGAACACGAACACACCATTGTTGGAGACGGTTGAGTGTTATTATCGTTATTATTTGTTATTATTATCAGTATTGCACTGTTATTAATATATACAAAATTTATATTGTTATTTTTAATGGTAGCCTATATTATCATCGTTATTATTACCGTATCTTTACCATTACAAACATTATTTTTATTATTATTATTACAGTACCATAGTTAATATTACTGTTACAATTATTACTGTACAATGAACGAAGCGTAAAATCAAGGGAACGTCACAGGTGAGGCTACGGAGGAGCTTTCATGTGCTGTGGTTGCAAGGAGGGACGCGGACAGTGATGGAGGAGGCCACCAGGTACACACTACAGGGATGGAGGAGGCCACCAGGTACACACTACAGGGATGGAGGAGGCCACCAGGTACACACTACAGGGATGGAGGAGGCCACCAGGTACACACTACAGGGATGGAGGAGGCCACCAGGTACACACTACAGGGAGGGAGGAGGCCACCAGGTACACACTACAGGGATGGAGGAGGCCTACACAGGTGATGGAGGAGGCCACCAGGTACACTACTGGGATGGAGGCCACCAGGTACACACTACAGGGAGGGAGCAGGCCACCAGGTACACATTACAGGGATGGAGGAGGCCACCAGGTACACGTGATGGAGGCCACCAGGTACACACTACAGTGATGGAGGCCACCAGGTACACACTACAGGGAGGGAGGAGGCCACACACTACAGGGATGGAGGAGGCCACCAGTACACTACAGGGATGGAGGGCCACCAGGTACACACTAGGGGATGGAGGAGGCCACCAGGTACACACTACAGGAGGAGGCCACCAGGTACACACACTACAGGGAGGGAGCAGGCCACCAGGTACACACTACAGGGATGGAGGAGGCCACCAGGTACACACAGGAGGGAGAGGCCACCAGGTACACACACTACAGGAGGGAGGAGGCCACACAGGCCACCAGGTACACACTACAGGGGAGGAGGCCACCAGGTACACACTACAGGGATGGAGGAGGCACTACAGGGGAGGAGGCCACCAGGTACACACTACAGGGATGGAGGAGGCCACCAGGTACACACTACAGTGATGGAGGAGGCCACCAGGTACACACTACAGGGATGGAGGAGGCCACCAGGTACACACTACAGGGATGGAGGAGGCCACCAGGTACACACTACAGTGATGGAGGAGGCCACCAGGTACACACTACAGGGAGGGAGGAGGCCACCAGGTACACACTACAGGGAGGGAGGAGGCCACCAGGTACACACTACAGGGAGGGAGGAGGCCACCAGGTACACACTACAGGGAGGGAGGAAGCCACCAGGTAACTCCAATAATCGGACAGACAGGTGCTTATTTTTTCTCACATTAAAGATAAAATTAATCCTACCTACGTTCGAGAATCTTACTTATGTGGATTAAGACAGTGTTATAAGAAGGAGTTAGCGATATTAGTAGTTGAGGGAAATACGGAAAAATCTGTTAATAGTCCCGGGTGTACTGCATACAGTATATAAAAGGAATTGTAGCTTCACGGATGTCATACTCCAGTTCACAAAAATCTACAATACACCTTTTCACATATCCGTTGAGACATTGTTACATAACTATTTGATGAATTTCATAACCGAATGACAGAACACATATCGAATGACAAGCTGAAATAACTGTTGGTTCATGCTAACGGAAGTGATTGACGTAAGTTATGAAATTGACAGACGTGAACAATAAACCGAGTCTCCATATAGTTTGAGAATGTAACAATTGGAGAATGACATACCACCAACAGTTATTTTAGATTGTCATTCGATATGTGTTCTGTCATTCGGTTATGAAATTTGTCAAATAGTTATGTAACAATGTCTCAACGGATATGTGAAAAGGTGTATTTCGCACGGAATATCCTTCAGTTCATCGGTTGACAGTGGATTCACAAAGTTCCTTAATTCTACGTGGAAAGCTGTATTGAATTGCGCGCGCGAGCACACACACACGCATACGCACACACACACACATGGTACTAAAATCGTTGTTAAATTCCGTCGTGCCACAGTATAGTACAGTGAACCATATCACTGAATAATAACCACAGAATAAGCTGCTTGTCGACTTAATCTGAGATCCAGTAGTAACGTATCTATAAGCCTAGTCTGCTTAAAAATCCATTTCTAAATATGGATGTTGGTTGGACGGCAACAGGGACTTCCCCTCCCAGGTGTCGCGCCGGGAAGAAATACATGAACTGGATCTCTCTACTGTAAACAGGTCCTTAACCTAATTTATGCCCCATTAAGACTTCCATCGCACCATTCATAAACATAAGATATTATGATCTTTGAAACACAATATTTAAGGATATTATTCAACGATGTATTATATTTGAAGTACTATATAAATTTTTCATGCCTCAAAGATCAGTCTTACTTTACCGTCGACACTCAGAATATTGACATTTCTTACGCTTTATAAATCCATTCTTGTTGACAAAGAACTGTCTCACGTCAGCCCTCACCTTCACTCTCACCCCTGTCTCCCTCTCTCTCACTAGGCCACCTCCAGCATCCTCCTCTCTACCTACCACACGCCGCCACCATTCCGCCTCCCTACACCTCTCCTCCCGCCAACATCCTCCCCCCTCCTGCCCCGTTCTACTCACCCGCCAACTCTCGCCGCCTCGAATCTGCCATCTACCACTATACTCCCTACCTCCCGCTCGTCTACCATTGTATATACACCATACTTCCTCTCGCCTTCCTACCACACACACCGCCTACCACCCTAAATACTCCTCTACTTATAAGTCACTTCAATTAATATACCAATCGTCCAAGAACAAGTGTGCTGTACAAGTTATCCCAGCTGGTGTGGAACAAGGTAAAATGTTAATGTACAATATGTCTCCTTATGGTTTTCATTGGTGTCCTTTGTGTTGCATAAACGAATGATATTGTGTAACGATGTGAGATTCTCATATTTTGTGTCATAATTTACCAGGATTTCTCACATAACGAAATAAAACAAAAACAAAGGAATGAAACCTCTATGATAGTCAACTTAACATATTCTTTGAACAGTTGAGGACAATATTCTCTCGACATTTTTTAGCAATATTTTACATGGTCCACAATGACAAGTTCACCAGCTGTAATACTATGCATAATCCAAAGTGTCTTGAGGGAATTTTGAACTGAAATTGTACACTAAATTTTCCAGCTTATTTATGCCATAAGCTTAAGTACATTAATCATACATAAAATATAAACTTGAAATAAAAAGATCTACAAGTTCTCAACAGTCTCAGTCACGTGTAATTACCTAACCTATCTATATTACTAAATACTTTCCAATTGTATTACTTCTCGTTAAATAAATACTTTTAGTTTCTTTTCATAACGATCCCTTCCCAACCCACCAAAACTCATACCGACCCACCCACAACCCACCACGACCCATCCCTAATCCCCACCCACCCGCACATTCCACTCCCACTGCCCCCCACACGCTCCAGCAACCTGAGTAACGACAAAGTGTCAAAAAGGAGGAGGAGGAGGAGGCGGAGGACTCCCTTCTTACTCACACACACACACACCTGCAACAGTACGCTAAACATCTATGGCAGTTGGAATAAACATCATAGAGGTTTTAAGGGAGGTACCTCATTATCGCGTCTAAAATGTTTAACAGTCGAGGTAAGAAAAAACGTTTGATTAAAAAGTGTGTAGAGAGAGAGTTATTCCTTCAGACAGATTTATATACATGACTCAGAGGACAGATATATAAACAAGGGTTATCACAAGTGGGTTGGCGTATAAGGCGAGCAATGACCTCGGTCTATCGACCTGCAAGTCCCGGATCCTCAAATATTTCTTACGCACATTTCCTCAAAGAAAAAAAACGGGTCGAATTACGATAGTCTTTTGGTAATTTTGACGCCATTTCCGCCAGTCTTTGTGTTATTGCTTAATAAGTCATGTTTTTAGGCCTGATGTTATGGAAAATGTTTTTAACGTTTTCATCTTTTGAAAAAACTGAACAACACTTTTGACGCCAATTAAGTGCTCAAACCAGTGCCATCATGATGTGCACTTAAGCTCTAAGTTAAGGTTGGCGTTATAAATATGAGCAATCTCTGCGAAGCGTCAACAGCCCACCCACTACCTCGTCTGGTGGTGGCCAACGCACTACACTTGACTGCACTCTCAGAAACCTTGAAAACTTTACTCAGTTGCCACTACACCATTTATGGCTCGCCGTTTCAAAGTCCCAACAATTACATTCGTCTACGTTTCGTTCTTTATTAGAAAACGGCGTTGTCTCGCAGTAAGGTTTACGGCAGCTGGTGGTGTCTCTCTGGTGAAGTGGTGGTGATAGTGTACCAGTGTGGTGGAGTGGTAATGGTGGTGTACCACTGGTAATGTTGCAAATGATAATAACCAGTGTGGTGGTGAAGGTGATGATGGACGTGAAGCATCAGTGGTGCTCTCAGTGTGGTGGTGTTGAGGGGGCGGAGCATCAACAAGCTAGTGGCAACCTAATCAACCAACCAACCAACATTCTCGTGTAGGCAACTCAAGGGGCGAGGTGCACTCAGCTGCACTTGAGTCCCCCCCCCCCCTTGAAACACACACGTTGCCACTTTCAGGAATTTGATGCTTGTTTTTATAAGTCCAACCCGTTTATATACGCTTTTTGACCCCCGTTTTGTTTGATTAGTTTCTAAATACTTTTGACTTGCATTTAAACGTCTTTGAGGTTTATTTATAAATGTTTATTATTTCATTTTGTCTGATATATGTATGACTTTCCTCTATTCATCTGCCCTTACACTTATTATAAATTTATTCAAGTTTCTACGCGTTCAAATTCTTGTTTTATAATTTTCTGGTTGTTTGCTCTTCTTGGTGGTTGTTCTATAGTTATTACTCCCCTTTAACATTCTTCCCCCAAACTGAACACTACACCATTACATATTGCCATTCTGTACACTACACTGCCGCGCCATCCCAAATAACCATAAGAAAGAAGGATGAGAATAATGTCCGAGAGTGAACGAGAGAGAATACAGTATATGGAGGGTGGGAGGAAGAGAGGGAGGTATGTAGGTGGGGAAGGTAGGGAGGCAGGAAGAGAGGAGTAGTAGTAAGTAGGTAGGTAGGTAGGTAGGGTGGGCAGACTCGGGATAAGCCTCCCTGGCAACCGTGGGGCGGCGCCACCACTCAATGCTAGCGGGTCGGCAGAGTGGTTTGGTGGCCCTCCCGTCGGCGGCGGCCGCCCCTCGCCCACCCTCACTCCTCACCCACCCTCAACTCCGGTGGGCGGCCGACGTTTGAATTATTTAGGTGATGGGTGCCTGCGGAGGCTTGTTTCTCTGTCCATCCCATCTTAATGCTGCTCATCGTTCGGCAACAACAACAGGGCACCGAGAGGTTCCCTCTGGTGTATAGCGTAGACTCAGCTGTGTTGTCAAGGTCGATACGCACTTTGCTCACCAGTTGTGCGAGGCTCCCACGCTTACATAATAATCCATTTCCATTTGCACCGAGGCTTATATCATTCATATCACTTTACATCGCTAATACAAATGTGCACTTTAACCTGTGTGGATGTAACTTTATATGAACGACAAACACACATGTTCTTGCTGCACAAGTAACACAAGTTCTCACTGCACAGCATAATTTACAATTACTGCACATGAACAACGCACAAAAAAGTAACTGTGCGTCAACAGTACATGTGCACACTATTGTTTACAGTCAACACAGATTCACTGTCACTAAGCAACACCTACAACAATTCAATACGCAGAATCAGCGTTGCACAGGTGTCTGCGAAGCGTACGGGCGGTGTAAGCACGTGGCAGCACGTGTCCCTGTCACCAGCCCCCACTTCTTAACACCATACACGACAACATAAACCGCCGCATGTTTCAAAACTATTGTTCAGATTTTCAAAACATAAAACTTCATCACTCATCTGTCATGTACAGGTTGGACAGACTAACTGGCTATAACCACCACAAGCTAGCCATCCAGGTTGTATACACACAGTTCACGTGACAGCGCACACATATATACACACACACACACATGGCAGCAGCTGTGTAGATAATCCCGTGTAGACACGCCAGGACGGCAGCAGAGCGTGGTTGTGTGTGTACCGATGACTCCGGACGATCGACCACTCCTTCAAGAAGCGCGCGGCTCCCTCCCTCTCCGTCTTGGGCCTGCACTCACACTTCCCTCACATCTTATCTCGCTCCAACAACCCTTTTACCTCTCTCTCTGCCTCCTCCTACTTTTCTGACAGTAGGAATAAGCGATGGAGGGCTGTCACGACAAGGTGAGGGGATGGTAAAGAAAGGGGAACTGGGACAATTCGAGGAGGAGACTTGGAGGTGCGGGAATGAGTGCGAGTCTCTGGGCTGATGCCTCGTCAGTGCCGGCTGAGGGGTGTGCGAGTGCGCGGGGAGTGTGGGGGGCGGGAGTGGGCCGGGGGAGGGAGGGAGGATAAGGAGCAGCGGAGAGTGGGAGGGAGGTGTAGAGGGGAGGGAGGGGTGGAAAGGGGGAGGGAGGGAAGAGTGGAGGATGGAGAGAATGGTTGATATGGTGGTGGTGGTGGCGGGACGCGAGTTGTAGTATCAGAAGATGTACGGATGATCACCATGGTTTGGGTTGGTGGTAGAGTGTGTGTGTGTGTGTGTGTGTGTGTGTGTGTGTGTGTGTGTGTGTGTGTGTGTGTGTGTGTGACTTGCGGCGTAGGATTAAGAATTGGTGACAGGTCTAGTTGTAGTGGTGAAGTGACAAGAAAAAATTGGTCAGAATAACTAAAGCACAGTGGTGAGTTCTAGTACCTGGCAGCTGAGAGAGAAGTGGCCTGCCTGGTTGAAGGTGAGGGCTCAGTGGTGGTGTTGGTAGTAGTAGTAGAGTTTGGTTGTGTGGAGGATTGGGGAGGAAGATAATTGTATTTTGTAAAGGTACTATGTAGGTTGGGTGAAAGGTTAGGGCGTGCTGTCATGTGGTGGTGGTGGTGGTGGTGGTAGTGACAATTAGACTTACGTAAAGAGAAACCAGAGAACAATGTTGTCAAAAGGTCCCGTACACGCAGACGTCGACGCCATGACTCACAAGGAAGAAGTGTGGCCTGGCAGATGGTGTGTGTGCGTGTGTGTGTGTGTGTGTCTGTAGGGGTGGGTGTGTGTGTGTGTGTGTGTGTGTGTCTGTAGGGGTGGGTGTGTGTGTGCGACCCATAGTGTAATGGTCAGGGTGAAACTATGGGCAAGTTTCTTTATACCATTTGCCTCTGTCTACCCAGCAGTAATTGGGAACCTGGATGTTAATCGATTTGCGGATTCTGTTTCGGGGTAATGATTAGCCAGTGCAGTTAGCGAGTAGTCCGGTCTTCTCGGACTATTCCTTGACACTGGTTCATGCAACTCGTTAACTTAGGTTGTGGTTGTTGCGTTAGCGACAGCTTCTACACCTTAAACAAATTCATGCCTAGGTGGCCCTAGGGCCGGCTAACCTTGTACACGAGGGGCGAACAATAATAATTATTATTATTATTATTATTATTATTATTATTATTATTATTATTATAGGTGCGTGTGTGTGTGTGTAATAACAATAATTAATAAAAAAAACGGTTTATAGAAAGAATATGGCAGCCAAATAGCTGAAAATATATATTAACCCTTTCACAGCGGCAGGTTACCCTAAGCTGAATAAAATCGCTTGGCGGTGGCCAGAATAAAATGACAAGTGCGTGACACGCAGTGAAAGGGTTAGAAAAAATAGAAGAGAGAAGTAACATACAGTGAAATTGGGGATTGGGTCACTTGACTGACAAAATCTTTCATAAAAAGGAGAAGTAACTTAGAGTGAAACAATTTAAAGATTTGGAGGTAATGTCGATGGTTATAGAGTCTTATAAACTGTCTTGTGGGTTGGTAAAGGCGACGTCCCGAGGAACAGGAGGCTTCTTCACACCTAGCAGTCCTCGTCCCTGCCTCCTTCAGGTTGGTCGCAAATCTGCACGTTTTACACACCCATCGCGTGGTCTTGGTAGCCTAGATCTGTCAGGGTGTTGGAGAGAGTTCTTGTATCTCGTGTGTGTGTGTGTGTGTGTGTGTGTGTGTGTGTGTGTGTGTGTGTGTGTGTGTGTGTGTGTGGAGAGAGGAGCGCAAGCGCCAGCCGACAAGGAATACACAATATTTTATTCAAACTGAAAAAAAAAATATATTTCAGAAAGCTACAGAATGTCTCCCAGACTCTTCAATCTATTTCTCTATTTTTATTTCTCCCACCAGCCAAATATACCAGGCGGATCTAAACAAGAATAGCGTCACCACCACCGTCACAACAACGATCTCTCACCTTAGATCCTGACAACACGGTGAACATCTCGGAGCACTAAGCAAACCAAAGCCATGAAAGACTTCTGACGAGGGCTAGGTTGGATGACAGCAAGGTCTATTGACCTTGGTTGACAGACACGGGCTATGTTACGTAAGCTGCGCCACCTCAACACGGCAGCGTTACGGAGAAGAATCCAAGACGCTCAATATGAAAGTTCTTGTTATTAGTAGGCTCATTATATAAACATGTATGTATGTATGTATGTATGTATGTATGTATGTATGTATGTGTGCGTGCGTGCGTGAGTGATAGCTGTTTTGGTATCACACTAATTGTTTTAATTAAGTTCTGGAACTTTTAAGTGGCTGGTCTTGATGTAAACACTTCTTGGCATTTTCTGTTTTATTGTCGACTTGCAGGTAATATGCACAGGTACAATCTGAGAGAATACATTGTAAATTCTTTCCAGGGAAGTGTGGTGAATAACATTTTGAAATAACACTTGAGTTAGGTACCCAGCTTCCCTGTCCAGTGGTAGAAAGTGAACTGCCACTCTCTGAGCGTGAGCTGGTGTTTGCTAAATCAGCTGACCCTTGAGAAAGATGCAAACCAAGTAATCTGGTCGTGAATAACTTGGTGTTATTCATTTGGGTGTATTTATATAAAACAAAGTGCTGTTATATATATATATATGTGTGTGTGTGTGTGTGTGTGTGTGTGTGTGTGTGTGTATGAATGTATGCTTCACACTCGTATTTAAAAATTAAAGGTCCAATTTCAACAAAGCTGCCAGATCAAAGGGAATAGTCTGGGACGACGCGATTCAACTTTGTTTACAAGTGAACCAAGGTCAAGGCCAGGGCGAGGGTCAAAACAGCACTGCTAAGAGCTCCCTTTGTGAACTTCAATGACTCTTCACGCAAGATGGGAACTGTGTGAAGGCACCAAGGAAACGCCATGTGTATGTGTGTGTGTGTGTGTGTGTGTGTGTAGCCTGGGGGAGGAGCTACTGGTGATGGTCGTGATAATGGTGGTGGTGTTGCTGGTGATGGTGGTAGTGTTACTGGTGGTGGTGGTGGTGTTACTGGTGGTGGTGGTGTTAGTGTTAAGTGGTGGTGGTGGTTAGTGTTACTGGTGGGCATGGTGATGTTTGTGGTGGTGGTGGTGTTATGGTTTACTGGTGGTGGTGGTGTTTCGGTAGTGAGGGTTGGTGGTGGTGGTGTGATGTTACTGGTGGCGGTAGTGGTGGTAGTGTTACTGGTAGTGGTGATGTTACTGGTGGTGGTATTACTAGTATTGGTACGTGACTGGTGGCGGTAGTGTTACTGGTGGTGGTGGTGTTACTGGTAGTGGTGGTGTTACTGGTGGTGGCGGTGTTACTGGTGGTGGTGTGTTACTGTTGTTGGTGGTGGTGTTACTGGTGGTGATGGTGTTACTGGTGATCGTGTTACTGGTGGTTGGTGGTGGTGTTATTGGTGGTATTACTGGTGGTGGTGGTGTTTCTGGTAGTGATGTTACTGGTGGTGGTGGTGTTAGTGGTAGTGGCGGTGTCAGTGGTGTTACTGGTGGCGGTGGTGTTGTTCCGGTAGTGGTAATGTTACTGGTGGTGGCGGTGTTACTGGTGGTGTTACCGGTGGTGGTGTTGTGGTGTTACTGGTGGTGGCGGTGTTACTGGCGGTGTGTTAGTGGTAGTGGCGGTGTCAGTGGTGTTACCAGGGTGGTGGTGGTGGCGGTGGTGTTGTTGGTGGTGGTGGCGGTGTTGATTAGTGGTGGCGGTGTTACTAGGTGGTGGTGGTGTTAGTGGTAGTAGCGGTGTGGGTGGTGTTACTGGTGGTGGTGGTGTTGTTTCTGGTAGTGGTGATGTTACTGGCGGTGGTGTTAGTGGTAGTGGCGGTGTCGGTGGTGTTACTGGTGGTGGTGGTGGTGGTGGTGGCGGTGTTACTAACGGTGAGAGTTATTGGTAGGGTGCTGTGGTGCGGTGGCGGTGTTACTGGTGGTGGCGGTGTTACTGGTGGTGGTAGTGTTACTGGTGGTGGTAGTGTTACTGGTGGTGGTGGTGGTGTTACTGGTGGTGGTAGTGTTACTGGTGGTGGTGTGTTACAGTTTGTGTTGCTGTCAGTGGTAGTGTTAACTAGTGGTGCCGTTGGAGGTTTCACTGGCATGACCCAGCACAGTGTTGAGGGATAGTGACCCACTGACCCCAGGATCCCAATATTGGGAGGGTCAACCCGACAGGTAGAGTTAATCACCTAAGTAGTAACCAGAGTCAGTAACTTCCTTTATTTTACCCTACCTTGTTCAAGCCTACAAGTCAGCCTGCCAACACTCGGTGGCAAAACCCAGATCCCCACATTGGCACACTGGTGGGTGAACTTAGCAGAGATAAGATTTTAACCTGACACTGACGACGGCTGATCACCAGACCAGCGTTTATGTTTCATATAAAATTAAGCAGGTGGACAGTGGTATACGATTATTTTATAAAATAGATAAGAACTCTAAGAGTCTTTACAAAATGGAAGAGGTGACGGAAACTGAGGAACATTTACGAAGCAGCTCAACAGCCATATAAAACGTAAGTTATTGATTATGACTAACAGCTCAAGACGTATATATCCCAGCATAACCACAAATAACTTTCTAATCCAACAACATTTACGTGTATTGAAGAACTACTGCCCTTCTCTCCGTTTCTCCGGTACATCTTGTGAAGGGTGTCCTTTCCTAGCCGACAGTCCTCGACTCCGGATGCCTGGTAACGAGGCTCAGGTGTGTCAGTGTTAAAGCTACAAGTTATATGAAGGTGGTGAGAGAAGGTTAAAGATAAGTGGCTGATGGCTCAACTTGACACACCAGGTAGTAAGAACTTCACAGGTAGGATGGACAAATTTTGACCTAAATGTTTTAAC